ACATTATTAATCCTACTGATCCATGAACATTGGGAGGTCTTTCCATCTTCTGGTATCTTCAATTTCTTTCTTCAGTGTCTTGAAGTTTTATTATGTAAAGTCCTTTACTTCCTTGATTAGTTTTATTCCATGACATTTTATGGGTTTTGAGGCTCTTGTGAATAGGATCGTTTCCCTAACTTCTTACTTGGTGTCTTTGTTGGTAGCGTATAAGAAGGCTACTGATTTTTACGTATTAATTTTATATCCTGTACTTTGCTTAATATGTTTACCAGCTCTAGGAGTTTTCTGGTGGAGTCTTCAGGGTCTGTTATGTACAGAATCAAATTTTCTACAAATAAGGCTACTTTGACTTCTTCCTTTCCAATTTGTATCCCCTTTATCCCCTTCATGTGTCTTACTGCTCTAGCAAGACACCCTTGTCTTGTTTCTGATTTTAATGGGAATATTTCAGTTTTTCTCCACTTAGAACGATGTTGACTGTGAGCGTGTGATACACCAGCTTTATAATGTTCAAATGTGCTGGGCGTGGTGGCACATGCCTTTAATCCCAGCACTTGGGAGGCAGAGGCAGGTGAAACTTTGTGAGTTCGAAGCCAGCCTGGTCTCATAGTGAGTTCCAGGAAAGCTGGAGCTACAGGGAGACCCTGTCTCAAAAAGACAAAATATATATATATACATATATATATATTTCAAATGTGACCTCTGTATGCCTAGGTTCTAGGTTCTCCATGACTTTTATCATGAATGAATTTTGGATGTTTGTAAAAGGTCTTTTCTGCATCTAATGAGATGGTCACATGGTTTCTGTCCTTGAGTCTGTTTATGTGGTGTATACATTTATTGATTTACATATCCCTGAATCTCTGGGATGAAGCTGATTTGATCATGGTGGATAATCTTGTGGATGTGTTCTTGCATTTGGTTAGCAAGTATTTTATTGAGGATTTTTACATTTATGTTCGTGAGATTGACCTATAATTTTCTCTTTCCTTTGGGCCTTTGTCTGATTTTGGTATCAGAGTAATATTTGCTTCATGGAAAGAATTTGGGAGCGTTCCTTCCTTTTCTATTTTTCAGAATAACTTTAGAAGAATTTGTATTAGTTCTTACTTGAGTTTTGGTAGACTTCTGCACCGTATTCATCTAGTCCTGGGCTCTTTTTTAATTGAAAGACTTTTTAATTACTACATTTGCCTCACTGATTCTTATGGGTCTCTTTAAATTGTTTATGTCATTTGATTTAACTTTGGTAGGATATATATGTGTGTGTGTGTGTGTGTGTATATATATATATATATACATTTATCCATTTCTTACTGATTTTCCAGTTTAGTGGAATATAGCTTTCAAGCTATGTCCTTATGGTTTTCTGGATTTCCCCAGGTTCTGTTGTGATGTCCCATTTCACCTCTGAGTGTGTTATTTTGGCTCCTCTCTTGCTTTCTTTTGGTTAATTTAGGTTTGCAGTTTTGATACTCTACAAAGAGCCAACTCTGTTTGATTGATTCTTTGTGTTGTTTTCTTTGTTTCTACATCATCACTGAGCTTTGATTTTATTTATCTCTTTCCATCTGCCCTTTTCAAGTGTTGTTTGTTCCTGGTTTTCCAAATCCTTCAGGTGCATCATCATCATTACTTTATTTATATGAGATTTTTCTAATTTTCTGGTGTAGTGCAGGTTTTGAGGAGTTGAAGTTCCAGTCCACATGGTCCTGGATCAGCAGGGTGGACTGGATGGCTACTAGGTGAACAGGCCAGCTGATAGGTTAGGCTGGGGGAACTCACAGGTCTGGGGTGTGCTAGAATCCCAGCAACCCAAGCAGGCCTGAAAACTGAGATGGTGAAGTGAACTAGACAGTGGGACACAGAGAAGTCTCAAGAAAGGGAAGTCAGGACTGTAGGTCAGGGGCAGGGCAAGAGCCCAGGAACCCAAGAAAGCCTGAGAGCCGAGATCTCCAAACCTTTTGGATGAGAAAAATAGCTATCCCTTTTTCCATGAATAACTTTTTATTGTAAGAAGGCATATTTTAAATAAAAAGAGCATTATAAAGTTATAGCTTAACCAATAATTTACCTTTTGATCTACATTAAATTTGTACACCTACAAGTATGTAGTAGAAAATCTATCCTAGAATAGTATCAAAATATAATTTACAAGTTTGAATTTTGATTAATAAATTCAAAACTGCATTTTAAAGTATATTATTTTTATTATAAATGTTTTCCCAGTAAAGTAAAATATTTAATCTGAATCTATTTGATGCTGTCATATGGCACAAATGTAGTCATATTTACTCAAAATAGTGTAATATTTACTAAAAACTCCCTTTAGAAACATGTTTTCCTTTCTCCCCTTGTTGCTGGTTGAGCAGTTTCTATGGCTACGCCCACCTCTCGTGGAGGGAGACTTGCCACCCCCTGCTGAAACTCCACACTCCTAGTGGGCAATAACCATGAGTATTTCTTAGAACTAAGTTGTCAGGTACCAGTGCCATTTTGCACTTCACAATTTAGAATCCCTTTATAACCAGTTCATGGATTGAAGACTAATAACCACTTTGATATTTCTCCAACATGTGTCAGGAACATGAAAGGCACAACGTCCCCACCTCTTTGTCTACCAGAAGCTGGGGTAAAACACTTAACGTACTTTCTACTCTGCTATCTCCACCACAATAATAACAAGGCTCTGTAAGTCATGCCTTTTCAGATGTCTCGGAGAGCAAAGGGCCGTTACATGATCCATCTTTTGCATCTTTGGTGGATATCTGTGCTCTGTTTAGAAGACACATGAAGTTCATGTTGCTGAGTATCTATAGTAGACAGGAACCAGCAAGAGTAACCACAGGAGACCGGGAAGTTGCTAGCCATGATGAAAGACAAGCAACACCAAAGGATCCAGTAAAGGCCTGTCTGCTTGCTAATTTCAGAAAGTGACATGGAGCTTGCTAACTGCCAGCCTAGCCAAAAAATGTCAGTTCTAAACTCAAGGAAAGACCCTGCCCCAAAGGAACAAAGCAGAGAGATACGGACAGTTGACACCCTCCTCTGACCTCTGCGTGCACATAGCACAGCACCTGCACACACAGGTGTGCATACCAAACACATACACCACACTCACGTAATGTATACACACACTTACACTCACACACTCACATACATGCGTACACACACTCATAGACTCACACAAATCACAAAAATGATGAAAACAATAAACATCTCAAATCTAACATCTAATGACAAAAGACATTTGCATTCTTTTTGTTGCTTAAGCTACAGTTTTTCTGTGGGCTTCCTAAGTCATCAGGTGACTGCCTCGTTCCTAAAACACCTGCTCTCTTCTCATGTCTAAGATTTATTAGGTATTTTTGAAGCCTCCAAAAGAAACTCATGAGACAGGTACCAACAAACAAAACCTGAGATGATTCCTATTTTCAAATAACAGATGGAACATTAAACAGTCTGTGTTCTATTGTTTCACTGAATGATTTGAGCAGCTTCTGTGCGGGGTTCAGCTTGACAAAGAATTTCGTGAGTACAGCTGAGGAGCGGACGGCAGTAAAAGTGAAGTCTTGCTAGGAAACAATGCACTATCTACACATTAACCCAGCAGGAAAGGGGCATTACTTCTGTTTTCCCAGAACACATTTTCCTCAGTTATTACTTCTGATTACTGCCGCAGAGCCCAGTGCCGCTCATCCAACGCTGTAAAGAATGCTTGCTCACAGCATGTTCTGCCTTATTAAGCGATCTGTGTTGGAGCCCTTCATTTCCATTTCAGTTACATCAGTGAAATGTCAACTAAGAGTGACAGCCTGTCATTTCCCTTCAATTTTCTCAATAAAGTAAGGTTTAGAGGAAGTGTGCTGGAACTCTGAAATAACAGACTAACACACATTTTCCCACTCTCCCTTCCTCCTACATTTCCACTGGGGATAAGTCAATTTCTGATAACCTCTCTTCTGAAGTTTAGGAGGCTAAAAAGGATTGGTGTTTTAACGCCCACCACCACCAAAGAAAGCATCTCAAACACAGCTATTTTCTGAGTAAATATGTTTCAAAAGAAAAAAAAATGCTACAAAGAATATAAACCCTCCCCCTGGAGGGTTACAAAAGGCATCAGGAAAGCAGATATGGGCAGAAAAACAATACTTTGTGGACTGAAAATAAAAGCAAGCAAAAGTGGTTCTACCTACTTGCCACTTTCACCCTGTGCGCGCACACACACACACACACACACACACACACACACTCACACTAAATTTCAACAACAAATTTTAAGGGCAACTACAAAAAAAATCAACAAAGAAACATCAATATCAATCTTTGTTTTACAAAGAAAGAATGTCACAGAAAACAATAGGTCTGCCCTTATTTTTTTTTAAAAAAAAATGCTTCTTGGGGGCTAGAGACACGGTTCAGTGGTTAAGAGCACTGACTGCCCTTTGTGAGGACCCAGGTTCAGATCCCAGCCCCACATGGATCTAACAACCTTGAGTAACTCCAGTTCTAGGGGATCCAATGTCCTCTTTTGGCATCTGCAGGTATTGCATGACATGAGTGAACTTATATACATGCAAGCAAAACACTCATACACATTAAAAAACAATCAGTCAAAAAATCGAAATAAAAGAATTAAAAAATAAAAACTCTAGAGCTATGTGACCATAATTTACATTTCATTTTCTGAATATATCCTTTCAAAATTAATATAACAGAATGAAGATGTTATGAGGTAAGTTAAACTCCAATCTTAATTTCCATTATATTACAATGTTAAAGAAAAACTACAAAGTTGTTGTAATCAAGTATTTAATGTGGAAAACAAAGCATGAGTGTTAACAGGGAGCAAAACGACCTGTGTGAAACTATTCCTTTTAAATTATTATTAGTATTCTTTTCTTGGTCTTTTTGAGACAGGTCTCCCTGTAGCCCCAGCTGTCCTGGAACTCACTATGTAGACCAGGCTGGCCTTGAACTCACAGAGATCTGCCTGTCTCTGCCTCCCAAGTGCTGGGATTAAAGGCATGCACCACCATGCCTGGCTCCTTTTAAATTATTTTTAAAAGCTTTTGAACAAATATTAAAATGGATCGTATTTTAACTAATTCATCTTGAGTATACTACATAAGCAACTGTATTAAAAAAGTATCCAGAAATCAAAATCATACTTTAAAGAATGTATCTCATACACATAAAACTAAACCAGAGTTCATAAAGGTATCCAAAAGAGTTCTTTGAAGGCTTCTTTTGAAAGAAACCTGGTTCATTCCTCCATGTGCATGGTCCACACCATCATCTTCCATTTTTGGCATCACCAATGGCTCCCCACACATCAAAGACAAACTCATCTGGAAAGGCGAAGTCTCCTAGAGTCTCGTCAAGCGCCACAGCAAATTCATCCGGATTGTTTTTGTCCTTTCCAGCTTCATACATGGTGGTAGCTGCCAACAATGGTTTTTAAAAATTAATGACCCATAAACTGGCATTAAAGGACTAATAAGAACAGCACCAGGACAATTACTTACCCAAAAGTTGCATGCACATGTTTCATATATTTCAAGTACAAACTAAAATAATAAGATGCCCACCGACTCTCATTCACCAAGGGAGCAAAGATAGGTTTCAGTAGTCAGCCCCATTTATCAGAGATATAGCCCTCACCACTGCCCTGTCTCCAGCTTTAGAGGCCACTTGGGAATCTCGAGTGTTCTCTGGGGAGGAGGGGCATCTGAGCATGTGAAGAGGCACATGTGCACACAGCTCCAAGTGCCAGCCTCTGAAATACCATCCACATCTTTTGAGACTGGGTCTCTCACTGGCCTGGAGGCTCACCAATTAGGGTGGCTGGCCAGCAAGATCAAAGGTCCTCCTATTCCCACTTCCTCAGTGCTGGAATTAAAAACCAGAAATACCACATCCGGTATTTCTACATGGATGTTAGGGGTCAAACCCATGCTTCGAAGGCAAGTACTTTACTGACTGAGCCCTTTTCATAGCCCTCGAGTATTCTTATGGGAGGAAGAGGACACCCTGAAGGAAAACCCCACAGCTACCTCGCTGAGGCCTCTAGAGCACACCACTCCTCACCTCCCCACAGTCACTAACACTGACCCTTTCACCCACCCCCAACTCCCAACTAGATGAGTGCCTCTGGGCACCTCTCTGACTTGGGATGGAACATGAAGATGGTTCCCATAGTCTGTCTTCCTAGGGAATGGCCTGAACCCTACATTCTATGTCTGGGAAGCAGTACCTCCAGGAGTCCACATTCCCATGGGCCTTGCCCCAGGTGCTAGAAGCCCATGGTGTCCTCTACATTTTTTACAAACCTCCTGTAAGCATTAGTAACCAGAAAGAGGCAGTATAGGTGTGAATTGGAGCTTGGACAAAGAGGCTTCATGAAAAACGAGAACATCAAAGCCCAAAAGCAAAGCTCCAGCCTTTCTTGTTCTCCCAGGTCAAGGCTGAAATAATTTGAATGAGCCACAAGGTCAAGTCTTTTCATTAAATCCACTCTTAAATTTTTTATTTATTTTTATGTGTATAAATGTTTTGCCTGCATGTATCTAAGAGTACCACATGCATGCAGTGCCCATGGAGGCCAGAAGGGGGTGTCAGCTTCCCCGGAAATGGAGTCACAGATGGTTGTTAGCCACCATGTGGGTGCTGGGAACTGAATCCCAATCCTCTGTAATCACAGCCAGTGCTCTTAACCTCTGAGCCATCTCTACAGCCCCTAAATCCACTCTTACAAGCATAAAAGAGCTATTCTTCTTCCTGAGAGTTCAGTACCACTGTAAGGCAGACTGGGAGGAGGAGAAGAAGGGATCTATCTGATCAGAGAAAGGCACCAGTCAGAACAGAATGGGGAAGAATGGGTGACCTGGTTCAAGGATCAAAGCTCTGGTGATAAGGTAGCCTGGCCTGTGGTGGGAGAGCACAGATTTTGGGGAGGCGGGCAGAGATGTGGGAGTACAGGAATGAGAGACTGGCGACATGCAGAGGCATCTATGGCTCAAACACACACATTAAGAATCATGGGAATCAGGTCTGTAACTGTTGAGGAAGAATTAATCAGGGGAAAGGAAAAAGCGGGAATGAATTTATGCAGCTGGAATTGTAAATATGCAAAATACATAAATTTTAAGTATGCAAAATATGCAGGTTGGGTATTCTTTACCCAAAATGCTTGGAATTGAGAGTATTTCTGATTTTAGAATAGCTCTACATACATCCTGGGAGATGGGACCAAAGACAACACAAAACTCACTGTTTCACAAAAGTGTTGCACGTCACTGAAAGGCAGTTTATAACTGCCTGCTCTTTGGTTACTATCTACCACATGATGTCAGGTGGAGAACTTCCCACTTGCAGAATTATCTTGGCAATCAAAAGCTTCCAATTTTTTGAACATTCTAAATTTCAGATTTTTGGATGAATGAACGGTGCGATGACTTATATTGATTGTCAACTTGACAGGATCAAGAGTCACCTGCAGACACTCGTCTGAGCATGCTTGTGCAGGAGTTTCTAGACTAGATGAAGGTGGGACAGTCCATCCTAACTGTGGGTGACAGAATTCCATTGGATGAAGGCCCAGACGGATTAAAAGGAGAAATCAAGCTTAGGCTCAGTGTTCATTATCTGCTTCCTGCCTGTGGATGCATTGTCCCTAGACACCCCAAGCTCCTGCCACAGTGACAGACTGTATCTCCAACTAGAGCCAAAAGAATCCTTCTTTCTTTAAGTTGCTTTGTCACAACAATGATAAAAGTAACTAACACAGCCAGGCCTGGTTGCGCATGCCTGTAGTCCCAGCACTTGGAAGGCAGAGGCAGGCGAATCTCTGTGAGTTCAAGGCCAGTCTGATCTACATAGTGAGTTCCAGGACAGCTGGGGCTGCAGGGAGACCCTGTCTCAAAAAGAAAAAAAAAGTAACACAAATGAAAAGTAGGTACTAAAATCATCAGAGTAAAAAATTTGTGTGTGTGTGTGTGTGTGTGTGTGTGTGTGTGTGTGTGTGAGTGGTATGGAAGCACAAATCTCACTACTCAGCATATCATCCTTGATCCTCCTACCTTTGCCCACAACCTCTTCCTGGTACCAGCTCCACCATCAAAATTCTTTCCCTCCATCAGGGCTTTCTCCTTCCTGAAATCCTTTGCCCACAAATGAAGTTATATCTGAATTCCCTAAACCCATCTGCAGGTGCTTCTCATACTGAAATGTGCAAACAAATCACCTGGAGTCTAAACAAAATGCAAGTTCCAGCACCATGACTCTACAGGAAGGCATGATAGTGTTCATTTCCAAGTCTCAGATGATACTGGTCCCTGGGCAACATTTGGGGTAAAAAGATCTGCTATGGTTTGGATGTAAAGGGTCCCTTAAAAAGACTCATGTGTGGGGAACTTGGTCCCCAACTGATGACACTATTTTGTGAGGGTCTGGGGCTGGACCTTCAGGGTATCTTGTCCCTGGCCCCTTATTCTCTCTGCTTCCTGTCCACCACAAAGTGACAGCCTCCTCTTCACAGACTTCCTCTGCCACGATGTTCTACTCAACACACAAGGCCAAGCAACCGCCAACAGAACCTTGAAACCAGGAGCAAAGTAAACCCTTCCTCCCTGAACTCCCCATGCAGAATATCCAAGATCCCACTGCATATTCACCATTGCTCTGCACTGGCCTCATCTCGTGCGTATTTCCCCTACTGCCAGAAATAAACACCCAGTGGACTTTGGACTACTCGGCTCAGGAAGCTTCATCACATTGTGTTGGAAATGACATAGTAATGCCATGATGTACAGGTCTTTCAAAACCCAGCGATTTTCTAGACAGATTCAAAGAGAAGTTAAGAATAGAGCAACTTGAACTTGGAAGGGAGGTAGGGGTGGGGGTAGATATGGGACGGGTTAGGAGGAGGGGGAGGATGAATATGATCAAAATACTCTCTACGCATATATGAAATATATGATATATATATATATATTCATTCTGCTGGTTCTGTTTCTTTGGAGAACCCTGACTAATACGATTTTAAAATATTTTTATTTTTGTATATGAGTGTATTGCCTACATGTATACAAGTGCACCCATGCTGTGCATTGCCCACAGAGTTCAGAAAAGGGTGTCAGATTCCCCTGGAATTGGAGTTAAAGATGATTGTTAGTTGTCAAGTGGGTGCTGGGAATTGAACCTGAGTCCTCTGCAAGAACAGCCAGTGCTCTTAACCACTAAGCCATCTCTCCAGCCCCAAATATTATATTTTTTAACAAATTTATTTTATGTAACCAGGCATGGTGGTGTAAGCCTGTAATCCCAGCATTTGAGGCAGGAGGATCAGGAGTTCAAGGCTATCTTTGGCTACATACTCAGTTCAAGGTGAACATGGACTACATGAGACCTTGTCTCAAAAAAAAAGTTTTTTAATTAAAAAAAAATGAATAGACTAGGCACTGACAACAAACATTATCAGCTTCTGCTGTTTCATAAAGTATAAGCAAAATTATTAAACATTCTTAAAGAATAAATAGTATAACTATATTTTAGGGGCTGGAGAGATGGCTTGATGGTTAAGAACATCGACTGTTCTTGCAGAAGACCCGGGTTCCAATCCTAGCACCGACAAGCCCACTAACAACTGTCCATAACTCCAGTTCCAGGGGATCCAATGCCCTCTTCTGTCCTCTGCGGGCATTGCACAACACGGGTACACTTACCTACATGCAGGCAATACACGCATACACATAAAATAAAAACAATAAATAAAATATTTTAAAAAGTATAACTATATTTTTACATTGTGTGTATACCTATATAGATATGTGCATACCATGGCACACATGTGAAGGTCATAGGACAACTTTCTAGAGTCACTTCTCTTCTTCCACCTTTCCATGGGTCCTGGGGATCCAATTCAGGGTGCCGGGCTTGGCAACAAGCACCTCAGCCCACTAATCTATCTCACCATCCATTTCTTTGATAAAAGGTTGCTATCTTTAAGAGAAAAACCTAATAAGCTTCTTAGCAATGTGAAGGACTTCCTAGAAAGCTATATCACATTAGCATAAAAGACCTCATAAATGACATTTACGTGGTGACTATAATAGAACCTCAATATACTATAATGATATTTAAAGAGTCTGAAAAAAAAATCTTCCCCTAGTGGGTTTTTTTCTTAATAGCATCTATTGCAGCTAAGTGCTGACCTCTCATGGCCATTCTGAGAATATCCTTGTGCATTACTACACAGAACTATGTTCACATTACTAAGACAAGACTATTTGGGTGGTATCGACCAACATACAGTTTCAATTAAGTTTTTTTATGTTTGAGCAGAAATTTTAGATATAAAAATTAACTCATGACTTAAAATTTTCATATATGAATGTGTGTTCGAATATATATCCTCTTTTTACTTTTCATTTTCTGTGTGTGTGAAAGAGACAGAGACAGAAAGAGACAGGGAGAGGGGGAAAGAGAGACGAAGGGGGGGTCACATGCTGGGAATCCAACTCAGAGTCTCAGGTATGCTAGCCAGGTGGGTGTTCTACCTCTACAACTTTTTAATGAAAATCTATTCAAACTTCATTGGCCTCTGCTTAGGATGACTCTTTGTTTAGTGCTTTGTTCTGCCTTGACCATAGGAAGAAGTACGTCAGTATGTCCCTCACTACAGAAACCTCACTGACCTGCATGTTTTAATCAGCACAGAAGGTTTTACAGGGGAAAAATGACTTAGGAACCATCGTTTGAATTGCCTTTCCACACATTTCTTGACTTCTTAATAAATTATTTTTCTTAAATTCTGAAACTGCCAGAATTACTCCAAAATTCTACACTGGTGTCAGAGAACACTGTATATCTATAGACAACTTAGTTGCCTTAAATGTTTAAGAAACATATGACACAACTTGTCACTGAGATAAACCTATTCATGGGGTCAACAGCTTCCAGAATCTTGCTTTGTAGTCGCTGCTCCTGCTGCTGTTCTTCATGGATAATATCTCAAGATGAACTGTGTTGACTTGGCTAGTTGAAAATTCACATCTCACAGCTTAGCTTTACAACCACTGAAGCCCGATCATCCTCAGAGCTACAGCCCACAAAACTCTTTGAAATTGGGTGGTTAATCATTTGTCTAACACAAGCAAGTTCCTGAAGACAAAAATTATTTTGAATTATTTTCAATTCTCAAATAACAAATATATCCTAATTGTTTTTAAGGATAATGTTTTCTTGTGGTTTAGGAGGCTTAGTTAGCCTGTTTTGAGGGTTTTTTTGGTGGGGGTGTCCTGAGGATGGAATCTGGGGTCTTGCACATGCTAATGAATGTTCTACCACCGAGATACAGCCCTGGCTCCATTGTTTAAGGTATTTCATTACCATCTTAAAATTTTTTCTAACATTAGCAACTTCAAAATAATGCAATGACAATATAATCTGAATTAAGAAATAACATTTTCTGAAAGTCAAGAGGTACTGGGAATACACAGAAGTAAATGTATTCATTTGTCTGTTAAATTAGTCTCACGTTTGTGAATTATATTTCATGCTAATGACAGAAATTGCTAATTTAACAGTGGCTGACATTCTTCAAATAATTTCCTTACACTTTACCCTCTAAGTGACTGGTCACACTGCTAATCATACACGATGATACCAACTTCCTGTTAATCAGATGAATTTGCTGCAGATGCTTAATTAAACTGACAAGGACCTGCTAGTAATTTGGGGGAATTATTGAGAATATTTAATACCCTAAATTTCTGAGTGTAAGAGAAAATTTGTTCTTAAAGAATTGTTTTTTAAATTCACTCATAATTATTTACATTGTCATCCAATGCTGTACATATGTGTATTTTTAATAACAAAAAGGTAAAACTATTTTCAATTTGTATAACTATGAGTTCCATACCCAAAATTAAGTTCTAAAGTTGAAGACCATCCTAAATTCCCACCTTTGAAACTGGGGTTCTCCTAAATTCAAGCTCAAAGTCCAGGAATGGACTTGACTCTTATGATGTTTATATAGGTATACTGTTTATAGCTCCTCAACATTAAGCAGAGACGAACTGTACTTCTCCAAAAATTACTACCTAGAAGTAAACAAACAAATACTACCTAGTTAGTCTGCACTTAAGAGCACTTCCTCTCCAAATCTTCTTTACACTTATTTCCACACATGTTAGCATAACTGTCATGATCCCAGGTCATGTATCCCAATCCCAGTATTTTTCCAAATGCAAAAGAACTGGGGCGATCAGGCAAGCCACTCCACCCACACAGGATGGCCTTGGCTTTAACTGTGTGCATGGCGCAAAGCACCTACAATGCAAATCAAATGCTTTAGTTCAAGGAGCAAGAGACAGAGCATCTTTTTTTTTTTTTAATGTACTGACCTCATCTATACAGCCAAGTATAGGTATTTTATTATAAGCATTCTGAGCAGGCAAGAAAAAAATAAGGATAAATTCTGTTAATAAAATGGACAGGAGTTGGGGCTGGAGAGATGGTTCAATGGTTAAGAGAATTGGCTGTTCTTGCAGAAGATGTGGGTTTGAATCCCACCACTCATATGGCAGGTAACAACCATCCATAACCCAGTTCTAGGGGACAGCCCTCTTCTGTCCTCCATGGGTACTGCATGACATGGGAGCACTTACATACATGTAGGCATAACACTCACACACATAAGATAAAATAAATAAATTTAAAATTTTTTAATTAAAAAATATGGACAAGAGGCCAGTGGTTTGGGTTGAGATCTTTATACTAAGTTCTCAGACCAAACCAAACTGCAGTCACTCATGATGAAGTTCTAACATCCCAGTAAAGCTAAGTTTTTAATCTGACCTTCAAGACATGAAGGGAGAGAGGTGGTAGCCAAGTCCCCAGATACACCATGTTTAGCTGGCATGACGAGGCAGTCCCTTCTGATTCCGTGTCACAGGGCAAGTAATCCTGAAATGACCAGTTGCTTTCCATATTTGTTTCCACTTTCTTTAAGCCCTTTCCTGTCTATGCAGCCAACCTCCTCTGCTCATCAGAACTCTCACTGTATTTTATAAAACGAAGTGTAACACACTTCTAAAATTGTAAATGAAACCTAATTAGGATCTTCAAACTTGTTTTAACAATTCAACAAAGATGTGGAGACGAGTGGAAACAGAAAAGCGGAGAATGGAAGGGCTCCCAACACTCCACCTGCGCAAGTGTCACCTGTCCACAGACCTGTCTTCACTTCCCCAGCTTCTTTGAGTATGAGGGGCCTCTGGTGGCTACGCGCAGCTTTGCAGTCCGCGGGGCAGGCAGGGCCTCCCAAGCTCCCCAAACTCTGGGAAGCTACTGTTCCAGCTGGAGGGAGTATCTCCCAACTGTGTTAGAAGTGAGAGAAGTAAACAGGGCTCTGAGATCTGTAAGGGCAGATCTGCATTAAACCTTCATTAGGCATTAAACACCGCGCAGGGAAGGGCGAGGTGGCACAGGTGACATGTTCACTGGAGCTTAAATGATCTCAGTCCCTGTGGCTGTGAGCTTCACAGCACTCAGGTGGCTCCAGAGACTGATGACTCCAAAGTCACTCTCAGGGGATGAAGCCAGCTCCTAACCACTGAGGGTGACATCAAGTCTCTTGTCCACATTACTTGTCTGGGCTGAGCCTTCTGCCACCAGCTCGTCAGCATCTAGCCCTCCCTGTCTCCACAACTGACTGTTTCCTGTGGCTGTATCTCACCCAGGGGCTGTGACAGATCGACTGCATGCTCCCTGGCTGTTGGATCATGGATCTGCAGCTTTAAGAAAACAGATGCAGGGGCTGGAGAGGTGGCTCAACAGTTAAGAGCTCTGGCTGCTCTTGCAGAGGACCCAAGTTCAATTCCCAGCACCCACATGGCAGCTAACAACTATCTGCAACTCCAGTTCCAAGGGATCTAACGCCCTCTTTTGACCTCCATGGGCATTGCATGACACGGGTGCATTTACACACATGCAGGCAATACATTAATAGACATAAAATAAAAATAATAAAATATTTTTAAGGAAAACAGATGCAGCGGGGGGGGGGAATCAGGTCCTCTCTTGTCCACCTGCTCTCTCTCCCCTGTCACTTGTGACACTGACTTGTGATTGCTCTCAGTCTCAGGCCTCCAGGACAGCTCAACTTTGAACAACAGGTTCTCTCTCGGATGGCACCCAGACACAGCCCTCTGAGACACAGAGAAAAGACAAAATGGATCCTCTTCAACTGTTGACCCATCATGCCTAAGGATTCACTGTCTCACCAAAACCCCTAGCTGTGTTTGGGGCCATGGGCTTTTCCTGGGCCACCTGGCTTGCCTTCGGAATGAAGCCTCAGCTCCCCGACCACAACCAGGGAAGCACAGCCCGATTTTGCTGCGTCGCCCTTCGGCTCCCCCATTCCTTTCAGCTGTCCTATTGCTCCCTTCGTGGATTTCCAGTGTTTTTCTACTTTCTCTCTTCTTAATAGAGTCTGTTGTTTGTTATCTTGACCCTGCATCACATCACACAGAGACAGCCACCCATCTGCCATCTAACCCCTAAAGTTCCAGATCTATCCATGCCTGAAGACAAGATCTATCTCTGAACTTTTCAGTTATAAAAACCAAAAATTTCTACCTTTTCTTTTTTCCCCTAGTACAGTTGGAATTAGGGGTTTTGGTTTTCAACATTTGCTACTGGCAGAGTTCAAGTTGATAAGTGAAGACCTTGACATCTTAACGGCTCTTAATGGATCCTTAATACAGAATTTAACCAACATGCATATGGCATCAAATAAGAAAACCGTACATATGCATCTCTTATATGTTTATTTCATATGCGTTTTTAATCTATAGAACAGGATAAAGGAGGCATTATTCACAGTGCAGAGATTAAGAACTAACTAAACTTTTAGAAGTTGACTTAGCACTAACAACTCACAACTAACAACTGGGAAAGGCCAGATCTTCTTTTTTTATTCTTTACTATTTTTACGTTCCTTTTTTATCACTCCACAAATCTTTTATTTTGAAAAGTATAACTGGTTATCAATGTTTAAAAAAACATAAATAATCATTAACAGTATAGACTTACCTAATTCAATATCTCGAATTCCCATGTACAGTTCAAGAAGATCATCAACTTTTTCAATCGCCTTTGCTTTGGCTTCGGAGGGCTTTAACAAAGAAGAGGGAGATAAGGTATTGTATTTCTATGATGCAATCTCCTGATGGTCGGGATGTGGGGGAAATGTGAGACAGAGCTGGCTCACGGTGCTACCCCTCAGCTCATTTTAGTGGGCAAATACTGGAATGTGCTGTATAGCTAAAAATAAATCAATACAGTAAGTACTTAATTACAGTGTCAGCATTAATGGATTTAAAAAAAGAAAAGCCAGGAACACAGTTCCCAAGTGGCTAACTAGCTATATGAGGGGAAAGATGTAAAATGACCACCCAGTAGTTTTAAAGGGTGTAAAAAGGTACAGAAGCACAAATCTTATATTTCTAAGAGTCAGAGAAGTAAGTCTTCAGAAAAAAGTGACTTAACTGTATTTTCAGAGATGACGAGCGGTCAGACAAGTGAGAAAGAGGCACTCTGGGTAGAAGCAACAGACATGCAAAGCCTGTGTGGGCTTGCAAAGTCTGATAGAAAAGCCTGGCATGTTCTACATACCATAAGAAGACCCTTGACCTGGACAAGACAGTGACACGTATGACTAGAACACAAGAGGCCTGAGTGCCACTAAAAGGTTTTAGTCTTTATTGGACAGGCCAGGATAAGCCAGGCTATCCAAACTCTGAGTGTGTGTGTGTGTGTGTGTGTGTGTGTGTGTGTGTGTGTGTAAGGGTGAGTGTGTGGAATGTAGGAGTCGTGTGAATGTGTACGGGGCCTATGAGTTTCTGTGTGACTGTGTGTCAGTGTAAGTGTATGTGGAGTGTTAATATCAGTGTTTCTGTGTGTTTGTGTGAGTTTCAGAGTGCTTGTGTGCATGTGTGAGTGCATGTATGTGCGTGTGGTTATGTATGTGTGTGTGGGTAAGGTGTATGTGTACATGAGTGGGCAAAGAGTGACCAGGAGTGTGTATGCTCTGTTGGGATCAAACCCAAGGTCTGTGCATTGTAGGCAAGCATCCCACCACTGAGCTACATCCCCAGCCCAAGTGTAGTTACGAGAATTAAACTTAAGAACAGTAAGACAAGACAGATTGCTCATCCTCCACTGCAGTGCATTTGACTTCCCCGTAAAGTGAGCAATCACACCCGGTAACTCAGCCCCTAACCTCTGTATCTACCCAGCCGCAGTGCGAGCTGTGGTACCAGGTGTCAGTCCTCCATACACAAACGGCCACCAACATGTGAACACTGGCTTCTGGCATAGTTCTGGGCCTATCGCCTCCTCCCATCTGCATTCTGCTTCAGTCCTCATCCTCATGGGCAGAGGTTTCCTCCTTTGCCCCTACCTCAAATCCATCCTATTCGACAAGCCACCCCTTGGAAACAAGGACTTTTTCTAAAACACAAAACTGATGTTGTTGCTGCCCCCACAATTATAAATGGATCCCCAGTTAACTCCAGGGCCTTTCACATCCTACCTGCCCCTTTCCTCCAGCCTCATCACCACCCACAAGGCACTTGCAGCAGCCCACACTCCAGTCTCACATGTGGGCTACACCCACCTCATGCCCATCATTATTTCACACCACAACACATCTCTCACTTGTACCAACTAGGTCATTTCTGGAGGGAACCTCTCACTAACTTCTTTCCTCTCCTGGTCCCTGACAATAGTTGATCAGCCTCTTCTTGGGGCAGTGTCCCAGACATTCTTCAGCCCCGCCCCACTGGTTCCTAAGGGCTCTGTCAATTCCTTTCTCTTCCTTTCTAGAAGGAACAAGGTCCTTACTCACCTTTGTATAGTCAGCACGTAAACTGTGCTAGGCTCAACAATCACAATGAATAAAAATGAGGTCTGTGTGGAGCATTGACCACAGCTTTCTGAATTTGTGCCACGTTTCAACTCCTTTTAATCCTTCCGTGTTTGAAACTAGATTGCAAGCGATTTGTACCAACTTTAATGTTAACATCAAACAAGCTTCTTCCTTTCCTATAAGCTAATATTAATTGACCTATTTAATTAAGAGGGCTATGTAAACGGATGGATGTTTACATGTTTGTCTTTGAATAACTCCTAGCTTCCCAGACAGATCTCAAGTTACCCTTTCCTGCTGTAGCAACTCACATATAGCAGGTGTTTAACAAACATTTATTAGCTGTGTTAACTATTAGATGATGACACTCGCCCCACAGGACATGGAGGTGCCCAGCACACCCTGCTTCTTCTGTGTCAAGTGCCCATTTCTCCCTCACAGCCTCCAGCAGAACACAGGACCAGCTTCTTACAGACTTGTCTTTTGCTGAGGCTTGTTTGCTGATGCAAGATACAGTGATAGTCTTCAGCAATGTGCCAGGCAGTGTTATGTGCAAAGGAAACAGTAGAAGCCGTAGGGAAAGCCACTAGATGTTCCTGCCCTGTGGTTTTGCATAGAACTCAGCATAGCACTTTTTCAAAACACTTCGGCCCTACCGAGTCTCTTAGCTGCCATTTGCCTCTGTACTGGTTAACTTTGCCAGCTTGATGGGATGTTGAATCACCATGGAAACAAATCCTTGGGCATATCTATGAGGGAGGTTCTAGATTAAGTTAACTGACATAGGAAGTCCTGCCCTAACTGTGGGTGGCATCATTCCATGAGCTGAAGTCCCAGAGTGAATTAAAAGAAAGCCTGAGGACCAGGACCCATCTCTCTGCTTCCTGACCAGGGGTATACTGTGACCGACTGCCTCCAGCTCCTGCCACCACGCCTTCACCACCATGATGGGCTGGATCTCTGGAACTAAAATAAACCCTTCTTCCCCTAAGTTTCTTTTGTCATGTATTCTGTCCCAGCACAAGACAGGTAACTTATACAGCCTCCAAATCAATCATTTCATTCCCCTTGGGCCAGGGTATCTGACTCACAGTCTTCTGGGTTCCTCAAAATGCACAGCACTCTAAGTGATTCAAATATAGTCCCAAGGACAGCTTTGACCCTGTGGGCCTTTAAGTACTTGCTCTAACAAACCAGCCCATGACTGGCCCTGTGTACTATCGTCTAACAAGCTCTGGGGACCCACTTGACAAACTGTTTCCTAACTGATCACCTGAATCATCCTCTGTTCTACAAACCTGGATATCTGTGGGCAGTGTTCACACACAGAGACTGGAATAGCCAAGTGCCTGGGGATCTGGGGGCAGCTTACACACAGAGAGACTGAGAGGGCCCAGTGCCTGGGAAGTCTAAGGGCAACATTCACACAGGGCAATTGGGAGGGCCCAGTGCCTGGAGATCTTAGACATTCACACACAGACTAGAAGGGCCCTGGGGATGTGGGGGTAGCTTACACACAGAGAGACTGGGAGGGCCCAGTGCCTAGGTGCTGCCCTTAGGAGCTCCAAGTCTCAGGTGTCTTCCCAACCTCCCCTTGGCCTCTGGGTTACCTTCAACACCTGCTGTCCTCACTGCAGGGAATAAACCTGCTTAGTGCCCCTGCCCATTCTGATGACTGCCACCTGACCCCCTGCTGGTCTCTTCTTTCCCCATTTCTTCCTCCATCCATCTCTTCTTCTGTCTTCTACTCAAACCCTGGTCTTTGGATAGACACAGTCAGTCAAAATGTGAAACCCTTGCTTTTCTCAAGCTAAAATAAACCCATTGATAATTCATTAATGCTGCAAAAACTTGAGTTCCTCTGACACAAGAAATGCCATTCTAGGTGCACAAGGTTTGTGAGGAAAAGTTAATAGCAGATAAGATTAAACAAAATAAAGACATAATGAGTCCAGAGGTATTTACTACTTTGAAGAAATTGAAGGTTTGAGAAGTAGGCGAGGTAGAGAGAACAGAAGGACAACTCGACAGGCTATTCAGAAAAGGCTTTTGAGGTAAGGTGATACACAGGCAGAAACCTGACAGAGGCCAGGGGATAAGCCAGGCAGGTCAAGGTAACAGCAGCACCAGGACCCTGAGCGAGGGAAACACTGGGAGATGGTGGGGACGAGGAGGAGACCCATCTGGCTAAAGCAGGGGGAGCTGGGAAAGGTGGTGACTGTGACACAGGAAACCCCTGGAGGGTTGTGGACAGAAAGGTAAATGACCTCCTCTCACTCCTGTCTCTAAAGCATATTCCAGCTGCTGTCCAGCACAGAAGGAAAGAGGGGAAAGAGCACAGAGAGACCGAGTCAATAACTGCAGCCTCCGGGGTAAGATGACAGTACCTGGACTCCGAGAGGCAAGTTGGAGGCTCGCATACTGCAGAAAGAGTGATAGATGGCGGACAGAGTGTAGGGCATGAAAAAAGTCAGAGATGACGACAATATTTCCACAGGAGCCTGGACGTCATTACCACAGTCTCCATAATTGAGTCTACTCCTAGCTCTGTTTTGTTGACTTATTTTAAATCTTTAGATTGGCCAGATGTCCGCAGACAAGTCTAGACAAAGTGGTCCACAGGAGATGAAGAACACCACAGATCACAAGCCCGCCTCCTTCACGGTGTCTCTGTATTTTCCACCAAAATGCCTTCGGTGATTTTCATACTTCGTAAGGAGATAATGAATGAAAAGCAGAGGCTTTGATACCAGCGAGTGGCTTTTACTTAACCTGGTGATTGTACCTTTATCCCTGGCCCTAAAAAGCATGACTGTCTGTACATCTCCAGGCAGAGTGGGAACTGAGTGCATTTAACATACCATTTCTTCCACTGTGGCAGGACCCTTTGATCTCAGGCGAAGAGTACCTCTCGAAGTCCCAATTTTTTCTGTTGCTGTCTTTCCAGCTTTTGACCTTGGTCCAATTTCTGGAAACATACCAAACAGGAAAAGGTACGTATTCAGAAAGAACCATCAGGTTGCTGAGAAAGACAAGGTAATGTCCATCATAAAACAATATATGATTATGACAGAGATTTAAAAGGCTATGCCTTCTTACAGAACTCCCTGAAACAAACCCACCTACCTGCCTTGCATCATTCTCAGACGGGAGTGTCTAGGAGAGAATGGGAGGGAGGTTGGAGGCTAAAAGAAAGAAACAATGAAAGAGTTGGCTTTATTCTGAGGGCAAAGGGTTCTGAGAAGCCAGAAAGCAGCCAAGAAATCTCAGCTGGGCTTCATCCCTCATGAAGAAGTGGAAAAGCTACATGTGGTTTATTATTCAGGTACTAAGCCCTCCTTGAAGCTTTATGTATACAATACATGTACACAGGCTGGCCTGTGAGGCCTTGTCTCCCAGGTGCGGAGGATGGTCTGCGGAGGGGTTTTCTGCCACATCTTGGGAAGGAAGCCAAGTGGGAATGCACCGCCGGCGTGGAGAGAAAGATGGCCCCGACACCTCACCGCGTGGAAGCAAGAGGGGGCATTTACCCACCTGGGACGAGACTGAGGGCCCAAGATGCATGGGCGAAAGTCAACGGAGACTATGGGTGGCCTCAAGAGCATCTGAAGTGGCGGGCTCTGAGCCGGACACAAGAGTGCTTCTCTGTGTAAGTTCCCCCATTTATCCCCTTCCTACCCTAGGGCATAAACCATAATAAATTCACATAAAAAAATATTATATGGTTTGTCTGACCATGCAAGAGACCCCAAGAGAACTCTGGTGACAGGCCTGTTATCAACCTCATTTATAAATAAAAGAATTAAACTTTGTGGAGGTAGGATTCAAAACCAAGTCTTGCCATGTATGGTGGCTCATCCCTACAATCCCAGCACTGGAGAACTGAGGCAGGAGGATTACTAAAACCAGGTCTTAGGATCCCAATGTCTTCATGCTTTGCCCAACTACACACCAATAAGAAGCTCAAAGAATTAATTCAAAGGTGGCACACTGAAGGGCAGGGTCATAAAGGAAAACTCTTGAGCCATTCAAAGAAGGAACTCCCCAGTTACCAGGAACGAGCTGAAGAGAGGCCACTCCAGCCCTGTGCTTGTCTTGAATGGGATTTATTTTTTCTTTCGCAATGCACCAAGAGTCATTTTGTGATGCATTCATTCTAAGCAGCAACATAATTGAGTGAAAGGGAGGAGCATAACTGGAAGGGGTGGACCCACCTAGACCTCTGCAGGAACATATGCCCTACAGGAACAGAGTCCCTGCTTAACCAGATTCACTGTTTGGCAAAGAAACTTGATATTCAGGGGTTCCTATGAATTTCCTGGGGGGGTTTTGTTTGTTTGTTTTTTGTTTTGTTTTTTTTTTTTAGTTTAGGCAACTAAGCCCAACTTGTAAAAAAATAACACACTGGTAAAAGCAAAAGAACTCCAATTCCAAATAAATACAGGCTGCCAACTAATAATGCTGCAAATATGTCTAAGTCCCCTTGACAGAGGACTCTGTGTGGCTGCAGTCTAGGGCAAGCTTCAGGGAGAGTATCACCAAGGAAACAGCCAAGCTTGCAGACAAGAACCACAAGCAGGCTGCTAAATGCAAGCAGGGAGAGAGATCTGAGCCAAGCTCTGGATCTGCAAGGCACACACGGATGCATTCTTGGGAAGATCCTAGACTGAGTCCCGTCTTCAGGCAAGGACTGTTTTCTTACTGAAAATCTAGGCCAATGTGTTTCAGGATCTTACACATTCATTTTAACCTGATTTCAGGGACAGATCTAAAACACAAGTTTCCCTCTGAGAATAGAAGTGGAAAAAGTCACCCTATGATGAGTGAGTAGGCTGGTTCCCCTTGGGAAAAGATCCTACAAATGGTGGCTGATGAGGTTAGGCAGAGCTCAAATGCTAGTCATGGTGACTAAACAGGTTCTCAGAAGACTAAAAAGCTGCACTAGCCAGCCCAGGGCACTGGCTTGCCTGTTACCCCATGTCCCCAGGGAAGGAAGGATTCTCAGCTGCTCAGAAGAGAGTTCCAAAAAGAGTACCAAGGGGAAAGAACAGGTCAGTCTGTCATTAGCAGCACTTGGCCACAGGCGAATCCTCGGCCCAGGGTCCTGTACATCGCAAAAGCAGAAAAGACAGGCTCGGCTTAATGGTACAAACCACTAAATAGAACATGTGCGCACCCACAGCACACTGCTGCAATTTCACCATGTCATCCAAAATAGCACTCACAAACATGCCGCACTCACACATGCACACACCACCCCACTGTGATTTCAGCATACACTCCACAGCACACACACACACCACCATCATCAGTACCACCTGGGTTTCACCACGCACTAAATTGTATAGACACACACACATGCCAACCTACTCAACATAACTTGTCTTCCCAAACTTTCTCTTATAGAATAGAAAATAAACTGCTCAGTTAACACGTGTTTTGGATAGCACTATTTACAAATGTGTAACTGCAAAGTATACATGAGCATTCCGAATTGTCAGCAAGTGTCTCCCGTGATTTTGTGAGCATGATACACCCCTGGAAAATCAAACAACTCTGCATTCATTGCAGAGCAAATAGAAGGTTCTGGTATTTACAAAGCTAAGAACCCAGACTCTGGAGTGGAGCTTCAGAAAGGCTCGGTCAGCCCTCTACAAACTGAGATGGCCAAGATAACGTCTGTGATGGTTAGTTTTAATTGTCAACTTGGCACACTGTAGAATGGCCTGGGAAGAGAGTCCCAGTGAGGGACTGTCTGGATCAGCTTGGCCTGTGGGCATGTCTAGGGGGACTGTCTTCATTATGCTCATTGATGTGGGAAAAACCCAGACTAAAAGTGGTGGCACCATTCCCTGGGCTTGGGTCCGGAATCATACAAGTGCAGAGAGAGCGAGCTAAGTCATCAGCAGTGTGCATGCATTCTCTCTCTGCACCTGTGGATATGATGTGACTAGCTGTTTCCAGTTCCTGCCGCCTTGACTTTCCTGCTATGATGGATTGGAACCTGAAATTTGAACTAAAATAAACCTTTCCTCCCCTAAGGTGCTTTCTGTCAGGGAATTTCATCACAGCAATAGAAATAAAACCAGAACAATGACTCTATCTTATCTCACTCCTCCTCACAACACCAGACTGTAGAAGGGAAAATTATGTAAAGCAGAAGACTGCTTATTAATAAGTTCTGGGGCTGGAGAGATGGCTCAGTGGTTAAGAGCACTGGCTGCTCTTGCAGAAGACCAGGTTCAGTTCCCAGAACTCACATGGCAGCTAATAAGCAATCGTAACTCCAGTTCCAGGATCCAACGCCCTTCCCAAACTTTCTCTTATAGAATAGAAAATAAACTGCTCAGTTAACACGTGTTTTGGATAGCACTATTTACAAATGTGTAACTGCAAAGTATACATGAGCATTCCGAATTGTCAGCAAGTGTCTCCCGTGATTTTGTGAGCATGATACACCCCTGGAAAATCAAACAACTCTGCATTCATTGCAGAGCAAATAGAAGGTTCTGGTATTTACAAAGCTAAGAACCCAGACTCTGGAGTGGAGCTTCAGAAAGGCTCGGTCAGCCCTCTACAAACTGAGATGGCCAAGATAACGTCTGTGATGGTTAGTTTTAATTGTCAACTTGGCACACTGTAGAATGGCCTGGGAAGAGAGTCCCAGTGAGGGACTGTCTGGATCAGCTTGGCCTGTGGGCGTGTCTAGGGGGACTGTCTTCATTATGCTCATTGATGTGGGAAAAACCCAGACTAAAAGTGGTGGCACCATTCCCTGGGCTTGGGTCCGGAATCATACAAGTGCAGAGAGAGCGAGCTAAGTCATCAGCAGTGTGCATGCATTCTCTCTCTGCACCTGTGGATATGATGTGACTAGCTGTTTCCAGTTCCTGCCGCCTTGACTTTCCTGCTATGATGGATTGGAACCTGAAATTTGAACTAAAATAAACTTTTCCTCCCCTAAGGTGCTTTCTGTCAGGGAATTTCATCACAGCAATAGAAATAAAACCAGAACAATGACTCTATCTTATCTCACTCCTCCTCACAACACCAGACTGTAGAAGGGAAAATTATGTAAAGCAGAAGACTGCTTATTAATAAGTTCTGGGGCTGGAGAGATGGCTCAGTGGTTAAGAGCACTGGCTGCTCTTGCAGAAGACCAGGTTCAGTTCCCAGAACTCACATGGCAGCTAATAAGCAATCGTAACTCCAGTTCCAGGATCCAACGCCCTCTTCTGACATCCACAGGCATTGCGCAGCATGGGTGCACTTACATACATACAGGCGATATGCTCATACACATAAAATAAAAATAATAAATAAAATGTTTTTAATAATAAGTCCTTCTAGATCTGCTTGAGGTTCATGGAAAAATGAGTAGAAAGTACGGAAATTTCCTCCATAAACTCCTTGATACCCCACACCCTCCCCATCATCAGTATCTCCCCATAAGAGCAGGGAATCCATACTAGTTCAACTCTGTCACCCAGAGTCCACAGCTGACACTGGGACCCACCCTTGGTGTGATATGTCCTATGGGTTGGGGTAATGGCATAATGATATGTACCCATCACCAAGTATCATGCAGATGTGTTGCTGCCCCAAATTCCATCATCACACAATTTTTTTAATCATGTCTTCAAACCCATCTTTTTCTTAGAACGTGTCATGTCCAAATCAACCACGTGGTGGCACCAAAACAGAAGTTAAAGTTTAAGCTCTGGTTGGGCCCAGCCTTCAGAGGCATCACCACTAAGGACATAGCCCATAGGTTTCTCCATGATCTGAGAGTTCAGGGACATAAGTCAACTTGTTTCTACATGAAAACAGGCAATGTGATCCTGCTCACAGCAGGGAGGGAGATGACAGGTTTCATGTTTTGGGAATGTTTTGAAGCTTTTGAATGTTGACAGACTGGCCTAATTTGGGGTATGGCTTGCCTAAGCATGTCTGGGTAGCCAGACCAAG